TATTTATTTATTATGTATATAATATTCTGTGTGTATGCCTGCAGGCCAGAAGAGGGCACCAGACCCCATTACAGATGGTTGTGAGCCACCATGTGGTTGCTGGGAATTGAACTCAGGACCTTTGGAAGAGCAGGCAATGCTCTTAACCTCTGAGCCATCTTTCCAGCCCCCATAAATAAATCTTTTTAAAAAATACAGTAAATTGGTGCTGCCAGGAGCAGATGTGTCTCGTCATGAAAAGCCCTAAGTTAACAAAACATTTTAAATGTCATATTCTATATGTCTTTGAAGTGTTTGAAGACCATTTATTTATCTAAAATATATTTGTAAGATCTAGAAAACACGCCTAACATATCTACAAAGTTGATTGTTATAAATAACTAACTGCTAACCTGTGTTTCTTGATCATTCCAAATATTTTATAATAGCTTTCAAAAACTAGAACTTTATAGTTTTAAGTGAACTGCATAGGTACAATAATTTAAACAAGAGTAGGAACATACATACAGTGTAACAAAAATAACTTTAAATTTGCATCAATATACTATATTCCCCTAAATGATAAACATCCATAACTCACCAAATAACCAAAAGCCTCCCATACCTCTTTCGGGAATCTGGGTGTTGTTTTCACCAAACTGCTTCCTGTTGTCTGCGGGTGGAAGGCATCTTTAGGGCTTATGAGAAAATCTGAGATACTGGCCAAGTCCTGGGATGACCAGTAGTAACCTTTGTTGATATATGTCATCTGTCAAGATTCAGGAGGTCTTCCCTGACCAAGCCATATTAACCTGGAAGGAATCCATAGCACCCTATTTCCTATGGAAACAAAAGCCAAACCTCTCTTCCAATCATTTTTTATTTCCATTTGACAAATACATTTTTGACTTTCATTTTAAAGTTAAGGCGTTCCTAAAATATGTAAGCTGGTTTATTTCAAAAGTTCCTTTCAATCCCATGTCTCTTAGCAGCTGGCCTGTGCTTATCAGCAATAAAAAAATTCCAAGTCCACACAAGAGCATACATCTTTATGTGGCTTTTCTCTTTGACTGTCTCTTTAAAGACTTTATTATTTTTATTCTATGGCTGTCTATACCCATTTTCTTTTCTTAAGCTCACGCAGATTGTAAGACACGCTGGGACCTGTTGTCAGGGTTTTCAGTCTGAGCCTCTTTCATTGCACATCATTTAGCCTTTGACCTCCTGAGCCTTTAAACTGATCAGCACTGTGGACCTCCGTTGGCTTCTCCTGCTTCTCTGGTCCTGAAAGTCAAGCATTAAGCTTGTGCCCAGTGTGAGCTGTGTTTCTGGAGCTGCCTTCAACCTTCCTAGCTGGAGGAACTTGATGCTTGCCTGTTGTGGCTTTGTTTGTTTGTTTGTTTGTTTTTTGTTTTGTTTTTCCCCAAGATAGGGTTTCTCTGGCTGTCCTAGAACTCACTTTGTAGACCAAGCTGGCTTTGAACTCACAGAGATCCACCTTCCTTTGCCTCCCAAGTGCTAGGATTAAAGGCATGTGCCACTACCGCCTGGCAAGGCAGGAACTTTAAAAAGAGCCGTGAAATTTGAGCCTTATGTTGTACGCCAAAATGTTATTTTATTTTATTTTTTTTAAATTCTTTTACTCTTTTGGAGGTCCACCACTCAGCTCTCATATAAATCACTCAGAAACTAATTCTTTCTTATAAATGCCCAGCCTTAGCTTGGCTTATTTCTAGCCAGCTTTTCTTCAATTATGCCATTTGCCTTTTGCCTCTGGGCTTTTTTTTCTGTTCTTTCTTCTTCCTCAGTGGCTGGTTGCCTGGGTGGTTGTCCTCCTGTCCTGGATCTTGCTCCTTCTCCTATGTATTCTCTCTGCCTGCCAGCCCCGCCTACCCTTTCCTGCGCTCTTGACTGTCCATCGCTGTATTGATAGGGTGTTTTAGACAGGCGCAGTAACACAGCCAGATGCGGGCTCCTGCGGGGATAGAGACTGGCTGTCCCCACTGCAGTGTTACCATGCCAGGCAGGGCTCTTTCTCCTCTCCCTGAAGGGGCAGTCTTGTAACTTCTTACCCGATGGCGCTGGCAACGAGTGTTTCTTCTGGCGTGGATATATCCAGCGGCAGCGCCTCACGCCTCTTTTTGAGTACAGGTATTTCAAATTTCTCTTCGACTTCGGCTTTAATTCATCTAATTTAGCTCTCAGTTTCATATCGCACTTCCTGAAAGCCGCAGGCGTCTTTCTTTTGCGAACTGTTTCCGCCCAGTACCTAGGGCCCGCTGGCTCTCAAACAATAACTCTGTATGGGCAGTGCGCCCTTTGGGTTTTCGTTTCTCATTTATCAAGCTTTAACTGAAGTAAATCTGCGTAATAGGTGCTGTCTTCTCGAGCACAAGGGTGGGCAGATGTGGAAGGCTTCGATTCCGTACTTCTACGTAAATTCTGAGATTTCTCCAGATTGCTGATTTCACCTAAAGGTGTTTTATTATTTCGTCGTTCTGTTCCAACATGGCAAACAGCCGTTCCTGCTGCTCAGATTCAGTTTGCGATCCCCTCATCCTCAGAAGCGGAAAGGCTTGGAACTTCATTTTGTCCATCTGCTCTCTGGTGAATGAATGTATTTGGCTACTTCAGTGACTGATATTTGACTTTCGCCAAGCTGAGCTGAAGTGTGCGGCCCAGCTGCTCCTGAAGACCTTGAGTTTCTCTGTGAGCTTTCTCTGAGGCTATGGGAGGACCCCGCTTCCTTCTCTGGCTCCTTTTTCTTAAAGCCGGTCTACCTGGGGCATTAAGGAAGCATCGAAACATTCTAGTTCCTCTTGTGTGTACTGCAGTTCTTACACACACACACACACACACACACACACACACACACACACTTTTTTTCAAGATAGGGTTTCTCTGTTGTAGCTTTGGAAACTGCCCTGGAACTTGCTTTGTAGACCACACTGGTCTCGAACTCACAGAGATCCGCCTGCCTCTGCCTCCTGAGTGCTGGGGTTAAAGGCGTGCGCCACCAACGCCCATCTCGTTCGCCCCTTCCTTGGGAGCCGTCTTCACTCCTTCCTCTTCAGTTAGCTCAGTCCGAAGAGCCAACACCTCCGAGGACATGCTACTGAGCATGCGCCGCTCAGTCATTAGCCCGAGCTTTTCTGATTTATTTGTGAGCGAGAACTTCCTCCTGATGGTCCAGCTTCTGCTTCAGCAACTTCTCTCTTAACCTGGCTTCATCTAATTCCACTTTGAGTTTTTCTAAGTTACTTTTCAGGTCACTGACTTCCTGCTTGTGGCTTCTGTGCCGTTGCGTTTCTTACTGCTCCAGCGGCATTTTCTGCTGGAGTTTCCGAGCTTCACATTCTAACACCCGACTCTTTGATCTCAGCTTCTCTGTGACGGGCATGCTTCTTTTGGTGATAACTCTCCGTCGTGATCATCATTTCTTCATGACATTTGTCCAGTCGATTCCACCGTCCAGTTTGCCGCCCCTAGAGCTGCAAGCTGTACCGTGCAGCTTTCCCTCGCTCCGTTTCACACTCCGGGCTTGTTTTGAAGCTGTGGCTCTGCCCATCTGTTCAGCTCTTTACTGGGCCAATCAGGTGTTTTAGACAGACAAAGTAACACGACTTCACAGAGTTAAACAAACACAAAATAAAAGAACGCAACACATCTTTGCGTCCTTAAGACAAATGTTCCACAGCATAGACAAATGCAAAACATCTTAAAATAATATTCTACAACAGTCCCTCACTTTCCAGAGTGAGTAAACCAAGGTTGCAAGACCACCCAAGTGTTCAAGGCCACACAGCCAGGAACCTACAGGGTCCTGGGCTGGTCCCTGGGCTGGCCGGCTTCAAAGCCTCCTCAGGCTGTGTGGCTTCTTAGAGCCATTAAGGAGGATGCTGCGAGGGCAATGGGGATCCTGCCCAGGGAATCTTTATTACCCAAGGTGTTGGACATCTAGGGGTGGTCAAGCTGGCTCAGCGGTCCCCGGGTGGGGGTTACAGGGTGCTGAGACTCTGAGACAAGGTCGTGGTGTCATTTCCACTCAGGTTACCTGCCACGAGCTGTGCCACCTCCTGGGTCTAGGGAGCTGTCGTTGGCTCCGCTGCCTCCTGCAAGGGGCACTTAGCCTGGATGAGGCCATAAGGCGTCCCCTGGACCTCTGTCCCATCTGCCTGCGGAAACTGCAACACCTCCTGGGCTTCAGGCTCCTGGAGAGGTACAAGGTGAGTGTGTAGGGTGAGGGAGGTCACCCAGAGGCAGTGGGACAGGGCAGGTTGCAAAACCTTGATGTGTGTGGGGGACATGGATGCACCATCACTCCCAGGAGGGGGCTGCAGGTCTTCCTGGCAGATGACAGCTGATGTCAGTGACATCAGGCTGCAGTGGGTGGAGGAGGGCAAGTGCAGATGGTCCCCCAAGAAGCTCTGTACTTACAGAGCTCAGATGAGAGCCCTCTTCCCCACATCTTCTCCTTGTTCTCTTTCCCCTTCCTTGCTCCTTGGTGGACACTGGGGATCCTGTACCTAGACGCAGTGCAGTCCCTGGGAGAAAGGGGAAGCGCAGAGATGCCCTTTTGGCTGAGCTGGTGTGGGGATGCTTCCCTCTGCTGTCAGCATGCAGTATTGCAGTATTGCTATAAGCCTCCACCCCCCCCAACCCCCCCACTCCCCACCCCATCCCTGTGAAAAGGCTAGTTTGCAAACTAGGACACTTGGCTCAGGGGTCTGAGATCAAAGGCGGCTTTTTTTTTTTTTAAGTCTACCTTTGTTTAAAATCAAGGCAAAGTTTTCAGTGCAGGGAGGAGATATTTCTGTCTGTGTAATAACTGGCTGTATTCAGCACCTAGGCTCGCTCAGCTTACTTGGTGTGGGAAGCCTCCCTCCCCTCAAGTTTTTCTCTTTTTTAATTTTTATAAAGATTGACTTAGCTTGGGTGTGATGGTGCACGTCTTTAATGCCAGCACTCAGGAGGCAGAAGCAGGTGGATCTCTGTGAGCATGAGGCCAGCCTGGTCTACAAAGTGAGTTCCAGGACAGCTAGAGCTACACAGAGGAAGCTCATC